CCCTTCGCTCTTGACTTGGTGTGTACATTGTTGAGTAACGTACCACCTTGATAGTTGTTATCACTGGTTTTGGCTTACGCGTGACTGCTGGATAAAATCGGAGAAGTCAAGAGACGAAACACTACCCTTACTAACCCTGTCCAACTGTACAGCTGTCATTACCCCTGCAAATGTTTTGGCCTGATGAGGATTTGCTGAAAACATATGTTTGCCAAATTGACTTCTTAAATTAAGCATGGGAATGTTTGCAGGATTTAGAAAAAGTTACTGGTTCTGTTAAAGTAGTCCCTGGGCGTCATTGTATGCACACCTATGTTCATGTTTCGTGAGTAAAGTAAATGCGGAATGCAGTGAAGAAACCATATGAAGTGGAAGCATCAAAAATCCGGTACCCAATTCTAAAACTGTCAGACGGCCTATAAAACTGACCTAAGAGAAGCGAAATCGAAAGCAGTTAATATATCCATGTGGCATTTTCATTATTTTCTTTAAAATGTGATTCAATTGAAGATGACTCAGTCAGATAGCTCGAAATAACAATATATTCCAAGGCACGACTTATTCGGACCAATAATTAATAGATTTTAAATCAGCCGTTTTGCGAACAAACTGTACATATAGTAAGTTGACTTACTAAGGAAACGTAACACGCCTTCCTCCATGATCTCCGAAAGCTCTGTAGGTTGGCATGCATTTAAAGCTCTGAGCCATAAATTGCCGCACCTCAGAAGTTTGTACATGGGATCCGCTGTGCCTAGTAAGCAAAATATTAAATTACAATTAAACGCTTGGTTACAGTAAATCCTGTGATCAAAAAACCGGATTGGTCTTTCTTTTGATGTATATGACGCTTCGGCACACCATACGGTAATATAGACGGCATTTGTCTTGGAATGCTTGGTAGAGACGTAACTTTCTACCAAATGAGTACAAAAAATAATATACTGTGCGTGTTTTCTGCAAAATATCTGTAAATATGTATGGGAAGTGAAAATAAATGTGCAAAATGCGTACCACTTATGTAGTTATTTTTGAAGAATAAACTTTGTGCATGTGGTCAGAAATAAATTTATTGAAAGCCGGCTGAATCATCTTGAGATTAGACTTTAAGATTCTCGGTACTAAAACATTACACAAATAATCTGCTGGGATCAAAAGCACATTTCGGAATGTCCGTGGACGCTTCACGAGGAAAAAAATTCACCGTACTGAAGGTGCGGTCAGTATAGCTGATCGGGTAGCATAATACGCAACTGCAAAGCGTGGTGAAACATGCGTCCTACATTTTTGTTCGCCCTTGTCTTGCGAGTGGGTTTGGGGAAATGTTATTGTCTATTTATGCATTCACCTATTTCCGAAAAAAAAACGTTTGTGTAGAATGTTTTATACCTACAACGTTGTTTTTCAGTCATTTTTTAGCGCAGGGTATCCGTTAGCAGGATCAGTTCTGTACTTACGGAATTGTTCAGCTGTTTCTGCGGTCCACAGTTATGAAGTAAAACAGTAGCAGATGCAATTTTTATTTGAATGGGTGCCTAAGCTCAGTCTCGCGTCGCCTTATAAAGTTCAATCAAATATAGTGACTGGAGTACAATTTGCATCGCTACTGCTTCCAACGCTTAGAAGGCGTGCAGGGATTGCACAGGCCTGTCCTGGCTCGCTAGCGCCACTCGGGAACCCGTGAGCAGTCTCACGGCGCTGACTCACCTTCGGTGTCCGTCCATCGCACGCG